CTGCTGCTGCTGCTGCTGCTGCTGCTGCTGCTGCTGCTGCTGCTGCTGCTGCTGCTGCTGGTTTGTCGCAGGGGACTTGCCGGAGAGCAGCAGCACGGGGATGTACCTGGAGGCTCACGGGCACTCTTTTCGGCAGCAGCTGTACTTCTGGCTGCGGCTGCTGCTGTGCTGCCGCCGCCGCAGCAGCAGCAGCAGCAGCAGCTTGGGGCCCTTCACTGTGGCCTTCTATGTGGGCCAAGTGGACCCCGAGGGCCTCCCCCACGGCTTTGGCCGCTGGCAGTCCGACGCCTTCCACGGCGAGTCCATCGTCGGATACTGGAACCACGGTCTGCTGCTGCTGCTGCTGCTGCTGCTGCTGCTGCGGCTCCCGCTGCTGCTGCTGCTGCTGTTGGGGATGCGGATGGTTGTTATAGTGGTTTTGGTGGTTATGGTGGTGGTGGGGACTATGGTGATGAGTAGGGTGGGTTGTTGTGGGGATGGTGGTGGCGGATCTGCTGCTGCTGCTGCTGCTGCTGCTGCTGCTGCTGATAGTGATATGGCTGCTGCTGATGTCGCTGGTGCTGCCAGTGCTGCTGCCGCTGTCTCTTTTGCTGCTGCTGTGTCTGTCTCTGCTGCTGCCTGTGTCTCTTTGCTCCCCCCTGTCTGCCCACTGCTGCCCCTCACCTTCTGCTGCTGCTGCCGCTGCTGCTGCTGCTGCCGCTGCTGCTGCTGCTGCTGCTGCTGCTGCAGGGCAGCCCATTGGGCCCTTCAAGAGCCGCGAATTCGGCACTGGCTCTGGCTTTATGTGCATCCGCATCGCCTGGTGCAAAGCTAAGAAAGGATTGCTAGGATTCGACACTTGCTTCGGTTAGGCTGCTGCTGCTGCGCTGCTGCTGCTGCTGCTGCTGCTGCTGTTGCTGTGCTGTTGCTGCGCTGCTGCTGCTGCTGGTGCGCGTTTGCTGCTGCGTGCTTCTGCCGTGGATGCTCTCGCGCTGCGACTGCCGCGCCAGCTGCCGCGCTGCTCCTAACTGCTGCTGCTGCTGCTGCTGCTGCTGCTGCTGCTGCTGCTGCAGGCGTCTCGGACGCAGAGTGCTGCGTCAGCGGGGCCTTCTTCCGCACATTTCCCAGAGTCACAATGTATGCAATAGACCCCAGCAGCCTCGCAGAAGAAACAGTGCAGCAGCAGCTGCTGCACTTGGCCAAAGACATAATGGGTTATCCCAAGCCCGCAGCAACCCTCGCTGTACCCTCCCCGAGGCCCCCCCAGGGGGCCCCGGGGGGCCCCCCGGGGGCCCCCTCGGGGGGCCCCCATGGGGTGGACTCTCAGGAGGTGGAGACTGTGAGGCTGCAGGAAGGTGGCAGGTCAGCTGAAGGACTTTTGCTGCTTCTTTGGTGCTGCTGCTATCTCTGGTCGTGCTGCTGCACTAGTTGCTGCTGCTGTCTCGAGCTTTGCTTTTTCTGTTGTTGGAGAAAAAGGGGAAAGAATCAAAGAGAAATGGAATTAAAAAAGAAGAATTAAAAAGAAATCAAAGAGAAATGGAATTCAAAAAGAAGAATTAAAAAGAAAAAGAATTAAAGATCTAATTTGCTGCTGCTGCTTCTCCCCGCAGGGCCGCCTCGGAAGTCTGGAGAGGCGGCAGCCGCGGCTCCAGGGAACTCATCGCAAGAGATGCTGCTGCTCGTTCACGTGAGCTTCTGCAGCAGCAGCAGCAGCAGCAGCAGCAGCGGCAGCAGCAGCAGCAGCAGCAGCAGCATCAGTCGGCCCCTGCTGCTGAGGTCGCTTGAGGTCTTCTTCAGACCACGCGGCTGCCAGGCAGCAAGTGCTGTAGCTGCAGCAGCATTTGCAGCAGCAACGGGTGGCGGCTGCTACTGCTGCATCTGCTGCTGCTGCTGCTGCACCTGCTGCTGCTGCTGCTGCATCTGCTGCTGTTATCTCTTGTCGTGCTGCTGCACTAGTTGCTGCTGCTATCTCGGGCGTTGCTGCGTGTGAAACCTCCGGAAGCGCAGCACATACCCCTGCCGCGTCACTGCTGCTGCTGCTGCTGCTGCTGCTGCTGCTGCTGCTGCTGCTGCTGCAGTGGACCTGAGCAAAACGCCCTCTGGCCCGCGGCTGGTGTGGCAGGCCTCGCGGCTGCCAGCAGCAGTGCGGCGAAAAGCCCAGGGCTTTTTTCGCTGGCGATCAGATCACCAAAAAACAACTTTGGGAAAAGAAGAACATTACAAAGCCTGTCTCAAACTCGTCATCGACCACATGGACCCCCACGTCTGCTGCTGCTGCTGCTGCTGCTGCTGCTGCTGCTGCTGCTGCTGCGGGTGGTGCTGCTGCTGCCGGTGGTGCTGCTGCTGCGGGTGGTGCTGCTGCTGCGGGTGGTGGTGGTGGTGGTGGTGCTGCTGCTGCTGCGGGTGGTGCTGCTGCTGCGGGTGGTGGTGGTGCTGCTGCTGCTGCGGGTCGTGCTGCTGCTGCGGGTGGTGCTGCTGCTGCGGGTGGTGGTGGTGCTGCTGCTGCTACTGCTGCGGGTCGTGCTGCTGCTGCGGGTGGTGCTGCTGCTGCGGGTGGCGGTGCTTTTGCTGCTGCTTATGGTGCTGGTGCTGGGGGTGGTAGTTTTGCTGCTGCTGCTTTTGCTGCTGTTCCTGCTTTTGCTGCTGTTGCTGCTGTTGCTGCTGAGGGAGCGGCTTCCACTCGCAGCAGCAGGCGGCCGTGCTGCTGGTGGTCCTAGCTGGGACGCTGCTGCAGCAGCAAATGAGCGAGCTGCTGCTGCTGCTGCTGCTGCTGCTGCTGCAGCTGCCCAACTTCGGGCTCGCAGATAAGACGGAGCTGCAGATCACCGTAGATGCTGAGCAAGGTGAGAAGCAATTTTCTCTTTTGCTGCTTGTGTCTTCTTTTGTGTCTTCCTTCTTTTTAATTCTTTTATTTCTTTTATCTTTTTTGTCTCCTTTTATCTTCTTCTATTTATATTTTAATTTTCATTTATTTATTCGACAGCCACAATACGCGAGCTGCGATTCTATAAGCCCCCGCTGCAGCTGCAGCAGCAGCAGCAACAGCAGCAGCAGCAACACCGGCAGCAGCATTAACAGCAGCACCAACAGCATCACCAGAAGCATCACTAACAGCACCACCAGCAGCATCACCAGCAGCAGCAGCAGCAGCAGCAGCAGCAGCAGCAGCAGCAGCAGCAGGTGCTTCGGGTGTTGTGCGCGTAGGGCTGTACGTGGGGGGCTGGGTGCCCGCCTCGGAGCTGCTGCCAGTGGGGGGCCCCCGAGAGGGGGGCCCCCCCTGGCAGGGGGCCCCCCTTGAGATATCTGAAGGAGAAGTTCGAAGTCCAGTACCCTTGACTTCGAGGCCCTCTTTGGAGTCTTCAGCCACTTTAAGGGGGCCCCCCGCGGGGCTGCAGGCCCGCATGCAAACCCTGGGGGGCCCCTCCCAGGGGGGCCCCCGGGGGGCCCCCGGAACTGCCAGCCCCGAGAGGGCCCCCCATGCAGTCCGCCGCAGGGTTTCGCCTTCCCAAACCCGAGCCAAGGGGCTCCACCAGAAGTACGCGCCGCGAGGGTTTAGGGTTTAGGGTTTAGGGTTTAGGGTTTAGGGTTTAGGGTTGGGCTCAGCGCGCTGCAGCAGACAGAAGTCCAGTGGTCCACTGGTTCTATGCCCAGTGGACTCTAATTATAGCTACTACTATAAAACCTGGAGGCCCTGGTGCCAAACGCTCCCTGGGGGCCCCCTGGGGGGCCCCTGGGGGCCCCTAGAGGGCCCCTTGAGACCCTCCTGGGGGCCCCCAGGGGGCCCCCTAGATTAACCCTGTGGGCCCCTGAGAGTCCTCTGGGGGCCCCTGAGTGCCTGCTGAGGGCCCCCTGGCGCCTGCTGAGGGCCTCCCGAGTTCCCCCTGGGGCCCCCCGGGGGGCCCCCCGGGGGCCCCCGGGGCCCCCGGGGCCCCAATTTGGGGTTTTTAAGGGTTTTTTGGCGCTGCTCTGCTGCGCTGCTGCTGCTGCTGCTGCTGCTGCTGCTGCGGTCAGGCTGGGCCAGGCTTTGCAGGTGAAGCAAAATATAAAGCCTGCGGAGCTGCGGCGGAGGTTTATGGGGGCCTTCAATGAAGAAAGAAACATAGAAGACTTTTTGCAAGAAACTCCGAGAATAAGAAGACAGACCTGCGAGCACTTCTGCAAGGGCCTCATTGTGCGGGTGCAGCAGCCGGTGGTGGGGCCCTTCGCGCGCGGGGACCCCGCGAGCCAGCAGCAGCAGCAGCAGCAGCAGCAGCAGCAGCAGCAGCAGCAGCAGCAGCTCGGGGGCCCCCGCGGCGGCCGCAGGGCCACGGACATTCTTGACCCTGGCAACCAGCTGGACAGGCCCTTCGCCTGGGCAGAGGTCAGACTCTTTCTCTCCTCCAACTGCTGCTGCTGCTGCTGCTGCTGCTTCCTGCTGCTGCTGCTGCTGCTGCTGCTGCTGCTTCTTGCTGCTGCTGCTGCTGCTGCTGCTTCCTTGTGCCGTTGTTTCTCGCTTCGTTCATCCGCGTCTCTGCTCGCAGCTGGGCGCAGCGCCCTGCTTTCCCCTTGTTCACTGCCGCTGCTGCTGCCTCCAGCTGCTCCGCTGCTGCTGCTGCTGCTGCTGCTGCTGCTGCTGCTGCTGCTGCTGCAGGAGCGGCCGGAGCTGCGGGTGGAGGGCTGGCGGCGGGCGGAGGAGGCGGGGCTGCCGGAAGCCATGGTCTTTGTCCACGGCTATAACACCAATGATGTTCAGTCAATGCAAATAATGGCGCAAATGGCAGCTTTTGGAAACTTCCCTTCTTACATAAAGCCTTTTCTCTTCACCTGGCCAGCCGGCGACAACTTCCTCGAGTTCTTCGACGCCAGGGAAAACGCAAAAAACCCCCAACTCCACCAGGCATTCACCGACTTCTTCAGGGCCCTCAGAGACAACGGTCAGACAACCGCCACGCGGGGGCCCCGGGGGCCCCCAGGGGGGCCCCGGGGGGCCCCGGGGGGCCCCGGGGGGCCCCAGGGGGGCCCCGGGGGGCCCCGGGGGGCCCCAGGGGGGCCCCGGGGGGCCCCGGGGGGCCCCAGGGGCCCCCTGCAGCGGAAAAGCGCTCGGGGGCCCCTTTTCGCTGTTTGCTGCTGAGTGGTGTTTTGCTGCTGTTTAGACACTTTGGGGGGCCCCACAGGAAGGCCTAGGGTTTGCCCAAGGCCCGGAGAGGCCTGCTGCAGCAGCAGCAGCAGCTTCTGCTGCTGCAGCAGCTGCTGCTGCTGCTGCTGCTGCTGTTGGGGCCATCCTGGGGGCCCAAGGAGAAAAAAGACACACTTTAGAACGGCCTGAGACCCTTTTGCTGCTGCTGCGTGTCGGGAGCTGGCTAGGAGACGTTTCGTCGCGGATTTAGGGTTTACGGTTTAGGGTTTAGGGTTTAGGGTTTAGGGTTTAGGGTTTGTTGTGCTTCTCAGGCATTCGGCAAATACACCTGCTGGCCCACAGCCTCGGCTCCCGCCTCCTCATTATGAGTCTCCACAGAATAGAACAAGAAGAGTAAATCCAATTCCCTTCAAACCCAATCTGGGGGCCCCCCTAGCAAACTAAAAGCCCAGGGAGTTGATGGGGGCCCCAGGGGGGCCCCCATCAACTCTCTGGGCTTCTGGGGGCCCCCTGTGGGGCCCCTGGGGGCCCCTGGGGGCCCCCTGTGGGGCCCCTGGGGGCCCCCACGGGCCCCCTGTGGGAGCCCTGGGGGCCCCTAGGGGCCCCACGTGGGAATCCCAGGGGCCCGGGGGGCCCTTGGGGGCCCCAGACGGGGCCCCCAGGGGCCCACACAGCCTTGCAGGGTTTCTAGAGGCCCCTGGGGGGCCCCAGGGGCCCCCCGAATCTCGTTTAGTCCTTGGGAGCCCCCGGGGCCTTCTGGATAAGGATTGGGCCCTTGTGGGGGCCCCAGTCCCCAGAAGGTTAGGGCCCCTGGGTGTTCACACGTTGGGCTGCTTGTGGTGCTGCTGCTGCTGCTGCTGCTGCTGCTGCTGCTGCTGCTGCTGCAGTTTGCTGCTGAAGCTGGCCTACTTAGAAGACATGGGAGAAGGGAATGCGCAGCAGCTGGCTGACCAGCGGAAAATTCATATTGTGTCTTTGAACTTTTTGAACCCCGAGTTCTTCCTCGAAGACTTCGTTGCCAAGGTGCGCATGCATGCATGCATGCATGCATGCATGCATGCGTGCATGGATGCATGCGTGCATGCATGCATGCATGCATGCATGCGTGCATGCATGCGTGCATGCATGCATGCGTGCATGCATGCATGCGTGGGGCCCCACAAAGGTGGCGGTTGGTGCTGCGGCTTTGCTGTTCGTCTGATTTTTCTCATTTTGTGTCTTTGGGGCCCCCCATTTTCTTTTTTATTTATTATTTTTATTTTTATTTTTTTATTTCTTTTTCTTTTCAGGAATATTCCTTTTTGAGGCAGTACTGCAGCAACATTTCCATCTTCTGCGACGCCCACGACGGAGTAAGCAGCAAACTTCTGCAGCTAGCCAGCAGCTAGCCAGCAGCTAGCCAGCAGCTAGCCAGCAGCTAGCCAGCAGCAAGGAGGCAGCCGGCAGCTAGCCAGCAGCTTGTCAGTAACTAGCCAGTAACTAGCCAGTGGCTAGCCAGCAGCTAGCTAAGAGCTAAGTGGCCAGCTTCCCAGCCACATAGACAGCTACTTATCTACCCAGGCAGCTAGCTAGCCAGATAGCTAGACAGCTTACCTTTCCAGATAGCTAGCTAGCCAGCTAGCCACCTACCCAGCCAGCTAGCTAGCTAGTTACCTACCCACCAGGCTACCCAGCCTCCAACGCCAGAGGTAGCTAGCCAGGCAGCTAGCTAGTTAGCTAGCTGGCTAGCTAGCTGGCTAGCCAGAGGTAGCTAGCTAGGCAGCTAGCTAGCTAGCTAGCTGGCTAGCTAGCTAGCTAGCTGCTGCTGCTGCGTGGCTGCAGGCCTTGTGGTGGTCGGAGCTGTTTAGCGGCAAGCAGGCCCTGGGGCGAAGTGTCTTTGGGCTTTACGCGAGGCCCAACGAAAGCCAGTCTGGAGAGCAGCAGCAGCAGCAGCAGCAGCAGCAGCAGCAGCAAGACCTGCGGAAGCCTCCGCTGTACGCCAGCAGCACAGCTTGCTTCCAGGGCTACGAGCCGCAGCACATGCAGGCCGACACCCGCGACTGGCTCGGTGAGCCCAAACCCTAAACCCTAAACCCTAAACCCTAAACCCTCGCAAGCTGCAGCAGCCCCAGGCGAGCCCCAAACCCTAAACCCTAAACCCTCGCAAGCTGCAGCAGCCCCAGGCGAGCCCCAAACCCTAGACCCTAAACCCTAAACCCTCGCAAGCTGCAGCAGCATTAGCCTGCCGGGTGTCTGTACACCGCAGATGTAGACGTCATCGACATGACTTGGCTCGGAAATAATGTGCATGCACTTCGCCACTCCTACTGGTCTCTGAACAGAGAGGTTATTGAGGACCTCCGGTGCGTCCGAGGGTTTAGGGTTTAGGGTTTAGGGTTTGGGGTTTGGGGGTGGGGCTGCGGCCCCCTCGCCCCAGCTAGCTAGCTGGCGGGCGGGCTGGCTAGCTAGCTAGTGCCCAGACTAGAGCTAGCTAGCTAGCTAGCTAGCTAGCTAGCTGCCAGCTCACCTAGCCAGCTAGCTTGTCACTTGTTAGCTAGCGAGGTCGCCAGCTGAAGTAGCTAGCTACCTAGCCAGCGAGCTAGCTAGCTAGGGAGCCACAAAGCAAGCCGGGTGCTTAGCTAGCTACCTAGGCAGCTAGCTAGCTACCCAGTTAGCTGTTTAGGCAGCCAGCCAGCTAGCTAGGGAGCTTGACAGCTAGCCAGCCAGCTAGCTACGGAGCTAGCTACCTAGGGAGCTTGACAGCTAGCCAGCTAGCTAGCTTGGGAGCTAGCTAGCTACCTAGGGAGCTTGACAGCTAGCCAGCTAGCTAGCTAGGGAGCTAGCTAGCTAGCTAGGGAGCTTAACAGCTAGCCAGCTAGCTAGCGAGGGAGCTAGCTAGCTAGCTAGCTAGCTGTTGCTGGCGGGTGCCTCTGCGGCGGCTGCAGGGAACTGATTGTGACGCGCAAAAGAGCTCGCCAGAGAACTTCGCGGCTAGACAGAAGGGAGGGAAATGTTTGGGTTTATAGAGTTGCTCCTTCTTCCCTCACTTCCATATTTGACAGTGACATCTAATTAGCGTTTTGGCTCCCAAGGGCCCCCAGGGGCCTTCACGGGCCCCGGGGGGCCCCCAGGGTCTTCTGGGTCATTCGGGGGCCCCGGGGGGCCCCCAGGGTCCTCAGGGGCCCTTCTGGGGCCCCTAGGGGTCTTGAGAAGCCCTGGAAGGGCCCCTGAGGCCTCTGAGGGCCCCTCGAAGGCTTGTGGGGACCGCCGGAGTCCCGAGGGCCTCTAGAGGGGCCTCTGGGGGCCCCCCGGGATCTTGAGGGACCCTAAAGGGGCCCCTGGGGGCCCCCCGGGATCTTGAACGACCCTAAAGGGGCCCCGGGGGGCCCCCCACAACTAGTGGGCTGGCTGTGGGCAAGGTTGGTTCCTGCCCATTTGGGGTGTATGTACGTACAGCTGAGGGGGCCCCTTGACTCAAATTCTTTGTTTTGGGCCCTCCAAGAAAAAGGAGGGACTGCAGCACGAAAGAAACAGAGACCCGCTCTGCTGCTGCTGCTGCTGCTGCTGCTGCTGCTGTTGCTGCTGCTGGCTGCTGCCTTTCTCGGGGCCCCCGGGCCTTCGCCTTCTGGGGCCCAGAGGGGCCCCAGGAGGCCTCAAGGAGCCCCAGAAGGCCCCAGGGGGGCCCCTCTGGGGCCCCAGAGGGGCCCCAAGGGGCCCCAAGGGGCCCCCAGCTGGCCACCCTTCTTAGTCCAGCGCCTGCTGCAGTGTAGGCACTGCTGCTGCTGCTGCTGCTGCTGCTGTTGCTGCTGCTGGCTGCTGCCTTTCTCGGGGCCCCCGGGCCTTCGCCTTCTGGGGCCCAGAGGGGCCCCAGGAGGCCTCAAGGAGCCCCAGAAGGCCCCAGGGGGGCCCCTCTGGGGCCCCAGAGGGGCCCCAAGGGGCCCCAAGGGGCCCCCAGCTGGCCACCCTTCTTAGTCCAGCGCCTGCTGCAGTGTAGGCAGTTTAGGCCCCACATTTGGCAGCCCCGCACTCAATAAGAACAGTCCCCAGCGTCCTCTACATGCATGCATGCATGCATGTGAGCATGCATGCAAGCATGAGTGCTTGTATGCATGCATGCATGCATGCATGCATGCGAGCATGCGAGCATGCATGCTTGTATGCATGCTTGTATGCATGCATGCATATAAGCATGCATGCTTTCATGCATGCTCACATGCATGCACAAATAGAAATCCGCATGCATGCATGCATGCACGCACGTGCAGGCATGCATGCATGCATGCATGCATGCATGCATGCATGCATGCACGCACATGCAGGCATGCATGCATGCATGCATGCATGCATGTGCGTCTTTGGCTGCTGGGCCCGTATGGCTTCTGTTGATGGCTTGGGTGGGGCTGACTCCTCTGTGTGCAGCAAGTTGCTGCAGCAACTTGCTGCAGCAACTTGCTGCTGCTGCTAGTTCCCAGCTGGCTAGTTTTTTATCTTTTTATCTTTTTTTTGTCTTTTTCTGCTTCTTTTTGCTTCTTTTTTGTTTCTTTTTTGTTTGTTTTTGTTCATTTTTATTTCTTTTTGTCTCTTTTTGCTTCTTTTTGTGTCTAAACTCGCAAATCGTCGGAGGCGCCGTGAGAGCCAAAGAGCCGCCGAATTTTTGCATCAACTTTTCTCGAGTTTAAAATTTTAGCAGCAAAAAAATTCGCAAGTACATTTAAGTAGGTCAGCGCCAGCAGCTCCACCTGCGCCACACACGCAGCGACGCAGCAGCAGCAGCAGCTGCTGCAGCAGCAGCAAGCCGCGCCCTGCAGAAACAGCAGCAACAGCAGCAACAGCAACAGCAGCAGCAGCAGCAGCCCGCGCCTTGCAGCTGCGCGTGCCTCCGCCGCACGCTGCCGCTGCTGCCCCCGCCCCCCCTCCCCTCCCGCAGCAGCAGCAGCAGCAGCAGCAGCAGCAGCAGCAGGACCTTCCAGCGGGGGGGAAAGAGCGTGTGCCCCTGGGGGTGGTAGAGAGGCATGCAGCCAGCAGCCCGCGAGGCCCAAACAGGCAGAGGCAGGCTGAGGGCCCTCGAGAGTTCGTCAGTGCAGTTTATGCGGTAAAGGCAGCCCACGGAGTTGGGGGGCAGCAGCACCAGCCCCAGCAGCAGCGCATGCAGCCCCAAACAAACCCTGCGGCGCATGCACACGCCTCCACAACGCTGCGCGCTGGCCACCTGCTGCTGCTGCTGCTGCTGCTGCTGCTGCTGCTGGCGCTGCTGCTGGTGCTGCTGCTGGTGCTGTTGCTGGCTGCTGGGGACGCCGCAGCGTGGGCGCCATAGGGACGCCCGAAGCCGCACAAGCTGCCAGCAGCAGCAGCAGCAGCAGCTGCTGCTGCTGCTGCAGCAGCAGCAGCAGCAGCGCGGGGAGGACCCACGTGATGAGGGGCCAGTTGCTGCAGAGCCGCTTTCTGTGAGTGCCTCCCAAAGAGAAAACCATTCCCGCATTCACCAGCTGAGCTGTCAGCCAAATTGAAAGACTCGCGGCCTCGTAGTTGTCGCTCCTGAAGCAGCAACAGCAGCAGCAGCAGCAGCAGCAGCAACAGCAGCAGCAGCGGCAGTGTGGGGCTCCGATGCCTTCTTTCTTAGTGTCGGCGAAGCCCTCTAAACAGTAGTCGAAAGCTGATGCAGCAGCAGCAGCTGCTGCTACTGCTGCTGCTGCTGCTGCTGTTCGTTTTGTGGCCTTCTCGCCCTCTGCCTGGGCCTTTCGCAGCAGCGCCCTTGGAGGGGGCCCAGAAGCAGCAGCAGCAGCAGCGAGAGCCGGGCGACAGCAGCAGCAGCAGCAGCAGCAGCAGGTAGCAACTCACCGCATCCACCATGCTTGCCGTGGCAGCTGCTGCAGGTAGGCTAAGTCCACGCCCAGGCCTGCACGCAGCAGCAGCAGCAGCAGCAGCAGCAGAGGTCGCAGCAGCCGCCACAGCTGCAGATCTAGCCGCAGCAGCAGCAGCAACAGCTGCTGCAGCTAAAAAGCGGCACAGCGGTAAATTTCAGGCTGAGGAGCTGCCCTTGACGGCAGCCCCAGCTGCTGCTGCTGCTGCAGCTGCTGCTGCCGTTCACGTTGATGCATTCAACACGAAAAGCAGCAGCAACTGCAATGTAGCGCGAGCAGCAGCAGCAGCAGCAGCAGCAGCAGCAGCAGCAGCAGCAGCAGCCTGACCCATTTGGAGCAGCCTGACGTAGAGGGTGACCAAGAAAAAGGCATCGATGGCCAACATGAGACACAAAGAAGTGATAGTTGTGGGGCCCAGCAGACTAGAAGTGGGAGACCGCACCCTTAAGTAGGCCTTGGGCCTGCAGCAGCAGCAGCAGCAGCAGCAGCAGCAGCAGCAGCAGCAGCAGCAGCAGCAGCGGCAGCATTAGCAGCCACACGATGCTCTGCGCCGCAGCTTCGCTGCCGCGGCAGGCGCACCGTCAGCCGCCGCTCGGCGCCCAGGCCCGCTGCAGCAGCAGAAGAGCTGCAGGCAGCGCCCGCAGCAGCAGCAGCAGCAGCAGCAGCAGCAGCAGCAGCAGCAGCGCGGGGCTGACCGGGCCAAAACCATGAGGTTGCTGATGCCCAGCAAAACGCCCACGTCGACTGTGAGGTAAAGGGCCTGACTCATGCATGCGCCTCCAGCAGCAACCAGCAGCACAACTTTGGCCAGCGACAGCAGCAAACCGTACAGCACCATGAACTTGTAAGCAGCAAGAGAGGTGGCCAGGCTGCAGCGGCCTTCCCTGCAGCAGCAGCAGCAGCAGCAGCAGCAGCAGCAGCAAGCAGCAGCAGCTTAGCTGCGCAGCAGGGCGCTTTCTGTGTCCAGCTGCGCTGCTGCTGCTGCGCTGCTTCTGCGTCTACCCTGGCTGCTTCTGCTGCTGCTTCTCTCCTCTGCCTGCAGCAGCAGCAGCCACCACTCCTGCGGCAGCAGCAGCAGCAGCAGGGGCCCCCCGGGGGGCCCCCGGACCCAAAGGAAACAGCAACAGCCGCACTTTAGGAGACTGATGACAGCTGAGGGCCTCATGGAAGTTGAAGTGAATGGCGCAGCGATAGAAGCAGCCGACTGAACACAAAGCAGCAGCAGCAGCAGCAAGAGCAGCATCAGCAGTGGCAGCAGCAACAGCAGCATCAGCGGCAGCAGCAACAGCAGCAGCAACAGCGGCAGCAGCAACAGCAGCAGCAGCATCAGCCGCGGCAGCAACAGCAGCAACTGCAGCAGCAACAACGGCAGCAGCAGCAGCAGTAACAGCAGCAGCAGCAGCAGCAGCAGCAGCAGCAGCAACAGCAGCAGCAGCAACAGCAGCAGCAGCCGCACGCGAGAGAGGGCGAGGCCAACGTGGGCAGTGCGGAGGGCCGCAGAGTCGTTGGCGCCGTCGCCGCACATCAGCACGAAGTGACCAGTGGTCATCAGCGAGTGGACCACTCGGCTTTTGCCCTGCAGCCAGCAGCAGCAGCAGCAGCAGCAGCAGCAGCAGCAGCAGCAGCAGCAGCAGCAGCGCAGCCCCTTTCCAGCCACAACAAACCCCAAACCCTAAACCCTAAACCCTAGACCCTAAACCCTAAGTCCTGGCACGCTCGGAGAAGGCTGACGCACGTGAACCCTAAAACTCCACACCCAGCACTCAGCGGCCAACCGTAAACCCTAAACCCTAAACCCTAAACCCTAAACCCTAAACCCTAGGCAGACCTTCGGAGTTGTCCTGGCGAAAATGCGAATGCGCATTAAAAGCGCATCCAGCACAGAGTCCCCTTCATTTGCTGCTGCTGCTGCTGCTGCTTCCTTGGAGTTTTGCTGCTGCTCTTTGCAGCAGCTTTTGCGAGGCACCAAGGGGGCCCCCTCAGCCTCGGTCTCTGCCTCTTCCTGCTGCTCCTGCTGCTCCTCCGTACTCACCTGCTGCTGCTGCTGCTGCTGCTGCTGCTGCTGCTGCTGCAGTGGAAGCAGCGGCTGACTCCTCAGAATGTCGAATGTCTCCTCCGTCACCGCCAGCTCCGGCCACCGCTGCAGCGCAGCAGCGCAGCAAACCCTTGCGCCTAGCGGCCTAAACCCTAAACCCTAAACCCTAAACCCTAAACCCTAAACCCTAGACCCTAATTCGCGGCAAGTCTGCGAACAGCGCTGCGCTGCTGCAGGGCCTAAACCCTGAAGCTAAAGGGATGCAGCACGCGAGTCGTCCGGCGTTGCTGCTGCAGCCCCTAAAGCCCAAACCCTAAACCCTAAACCCTAAACCCTAAACCCTAAACCCTAGCTGACCTCCGGGCACTCCAAAACCTCCTCCTGCGGCACTTCTCGCCCCGACAGCAGCTCTTTCCAAACCACTTCCTGCTGCTGCCCCTCGGGGGCCCTTTGCCCCAGCAGCAGCAAAGGGGGCCCCCGGGGGCCCCCCCCCAACTCCGCCTCCAGCCAGCTGCCCGGGGCCCCACACGAGGCCGGGGACACGTCGTCCGCTGCTGCTGCTGCTGCTGCTGCTGCTGCGCCTCCTGCTGCTGCTGCTGCTGCTGCTGCGCCTCCTGCTGCTGCTGCTGCTGCTGCAGGGTCGTGGGGCGCGGGAGCGAGCATGCCGCAGCGGAGAGCAACAGCAGCAGCAGTGAAGATGGAGTCTCCCGTGATAATAACGGGGCGGACTTTTCCTTTTTTTAAAAGACTTATTGTCTCTTTTGCATCAGCTCGAAGTTCATTCGACAGCAGCACGAGACCCAGCAGCTGCATGCTGCTTTCCACGCGTTCCCGCGGCAGCTGCGCAGCAGCAGCCTCTTTTGCATCAGCTCGAAGTTCATTCGACAGCAGCACGAGACCCAGCAGCTGCATGCTGCTTTCCACGCGTTCCCGCGGCAGCTGCGCAGCAGCAGCACTCGCGCTGCAGCTGCTGCACAGCGCCCGCCCCTGCTGCTGCTGCTGCTGCTGCTGCTGCTGCTGCTGCTGCTGCTCCGTCGCCCCTCCTGCTTCCTGCTGCTGCTGCTGCTCAGTCGTCCCCCCATCTCCTCCCTGCTGCTGCTGCGGCGGCAGCAGAGCCTCCTCCCCGTCTCCCCCCTGCTCCCGCTGCTGCTGCTGCTGCTGCTGCTGCTGCTGCTGCTGCGGGTCTGCGGGCAGCTGCATGCACTTCCACGCAAGAGCCAACACATAGGCCCCCTCAGCAGCAAGACTGTCATGAGTTTCTCTGCAGCCAGGAGGCAGCGGGGAGGAGCAGATTTCTGCAATGGCATCTAAGCTGCCCTTGCAAAGGCAAAGAAGGGCTTCTTGGGGCCCCTCGGGGGCCCCCAGGGGCCCCCCGGGGGCCCCCGGGGGGCCCCCGCGGGGCCCCCAGGGGCCCCCAGGCACCAGCGAAGACCAGGTCTCGGGAGACAGCCGCAAAACGCAGCTCTGGCGCTTCAGACGAAAGTCAAAAGGAAAGGCCCGCAGAGACTCGAGGCCCCCTGCACTCCCACAGCCACAAGCAGCGCAGCCACTGAAGATGGCTAGCTAGCTAGCTAGCTAGCTAGCTGGGTGGCTAGCTAGCCAGCTGGCTAGCTTGCTGGGTGGCTAGCTATGTGGCTAGCTATCTGGCTAGCTGGTTGGCTAGCTGGCGAGGCGCCCGGCGGGCCGCGTCAGCTGTTCAGCCAGCTAGCGAGGGCGCGGGCAGCTAGCTGCAAAGGCCACTAGCTATCTGGCGTGCAGCTAGCTAGCTAGCTAGCTAGCTAGCTAGCTAGCTAGCTAGTGCGCTAGCCAGCTAGCTGGCCAGCTAGTTAGCTGGCTAGCCAGCTGACTGGCTAGTTAGCTAGCTAGCCGTTACAGGAAGCGTTGCTGCGAGCCTAGGCTGCCTCCAAACTGACCAGCAGCAACAGCAGCTTGCGCGTCTGCTGCTCTGCATGCAGCAGCAACTGCTGCCAGCCTTTCTGCTGCTGCAGCATCCACCAGCAGCCGCCGCCTGCGGGTCTCTTCTTCGTTTC